ATACATGTATACATATATATACATATATACATATATGTATCTTTTGGTAATTATTTCGTAAATATACAGTAAATTGGGGACAAGTTGACTTGGGGTCGAGTTGACCCGCTTCCGCTCAAAATGTCTAGCAGGTAGTCCAAGGAGCGGAAAATCCCGAAAATTTAGTGGTTTCAAGGGCTTATCGGATGAGTGTACACTATGTAAAAGATACATATAATTGTTGTCTGTCCGACGAATCGTAATTTTTTTTATCCACGATGGTAGGGGGTGGGGAAGGGGGTTGTGAACCCGGTAACTCTACCCACCATACCACCGACCATGTTATGTGTTTCTATACTCTGACCTTTGACATAGATAAGCTTGATTATTGTCATAATATGCAATATTTTGTTGACGTAGTCATAATGTCTCTAAAATAGTTATTTTATTTAAGTACAGGAGATTATTTAAATATTTGTAAATATTTATATTTAAGAATTCCACTGCACAATATAATAGTAATAGTAATAATAATAATAATAATAATAATAATAATAATAATAATAATAGTATGTCAATATTAGTATAAACAATATACTCTAGATTGCAGTTTACATTGTTAAGTCTAATTAATTTCCTTGTACTTTTAATTTTTTTTATTGCGTTTTTGTCCAAACCCAGATTTGAAAGGAATGAGCCATCAACAGATGGTATAGTGACTACAATTATATTTCAAGCTGTTGGTGAAGACTGCAGTAAGTGGGTGGAACAAAAAGGAGTGGACGGTATTTAAATGATTTATTTAGCCTATATATTTAAGTAATTTTAAATAACAATCTGTTTTTCTTGGATAACCGTTAATTAAAAAACTTTAAGTATTTAAATATTAAGTGAATTATCTAAATGATTTATTTATCTATTTGTGTAATTTTAATAATTACTCTGGTTTTCTTGGATAACTGTTAATTTCTTAGTGGTTGAACATACCAAGCAGATACGAGATCATGCAATCGCAGGACATGTTGCAGAGACGTTGAAAGAGTTGCATATGCGAGAACATGGGTTAACAGAAAATGATGCAGAGACGTCAAAACCGTTGCAGGTACGAGAACATGCAATCCCAGGAAATGTTGAAAATACGTTGGAACAGCCAGAAAGCCAACGACACTCCTCATCCATTTATGCAGCATCTCCATTTTTTAGATTTCTATTTGTTTTAATTTCTGTATTATTACATTAAATACTATCATTGTTTCATCGTATTCTTTTAAATTTTAATATTATCATGTTAATTTTTATGAATTAATACACATATTTTTGTTAAATTACACACTTTGTGGTTAAAATAGGCCTATTATCAATTTTAAAATATTACCACAATTCTCATTTGCACAAAGTTATTATAATGTTGATTAAAAATCGCAAAGACATTATAAATCTGTCGTTTATACTTTTATTTTATTTTGTTGAATTTTATTTAATGGGGGTAGCCCTTGCAGCTAACACCTTACTCAAATTGACCCTTAAATAAGTATCCATGTTGTCTGGAAGTGCTAATTTTTAAATGCGTTAAATTGTCAATTTCCAAATACTTACAGGAAGAAGTAGAAGATGCAGCTACAATTCTAATGACTTCGGACGAAAGAGGTATTCAGTAGACAGATTTTACAAGCTTACGAACACAATAACGAATACAATACGTCATCTTTTTTATCGTTATTAGTGTCTAAAATATTACTGATAATACATATACGAGCTGAATATGATCGTTGGTGGGATTGTAATCGTCATCATAACACAAGTATCATCGTCATAATCATCATTATCACCACCACCACCATCTTCATCATCATCGTCATCATCATTTACTGTTACCTTCGTCAATGTTGGCTTCATAAAATCAATAAAGCATCATCAATGTCTTTATCATTATCATTACTTTCGTTTATTGGCTTCCCCATCACCTTCAAAATCACTGCAAAAATTGCCTCATCACTGTTTTTATCATTGCTTTTATAATTTTACGCATCATCATCTTTATCATTGTCATCAATGATGTGGAGCGTAAATATGATGATGAAATATAAATATCCTCTTCATCTTCTTTATCATATCACGTGTGTCCTTGGACAAGGCACTTAATTTACGTTGCTTACCACCACTAGCTACCCATATACTACATGGGTAGCTAGTGGGTTACCTGCTCCTGAGCTGATTACAGCAGTAACACTAATATAAAGCTTAAACCTAATGACATGAGAAAAGGCGCTTCGTATCTAAAAAGAAAGGCCCTGCTTAAATATAAATACAATGAATCAATGAATCTTTATCATTATGTGTTCACAGAAAATGTTCCAAAGACGTCAAAACGGTTGGAGGTACGAGAACATGCAATCCCAGGAAATGTTGAAAAGACGTTAAAACAGTCAGAAAGCCAACGACACTCCTCATCCAGTTCTGCAGCCTCTCCAATGGTAGATTTCTATTTGTTTTAATTTCTGTATTATTACATTAAATACTATCATTGTTTTCATTGTATTCTTTTGAATTTTAATATTATCATGTTAATTTTTATAAATTAATACACATATTTTTTGTTAAATTACATTTTTGTGTTAAATGTGCTGAAAATATGCGTATTATCAATTCTAAAAATGTTACCACAATTCTCATTTGCAAAAAAAATATCATATTGTCGATTAAAAATCGCAAAGACAATATAAATGTGTAGTTTATTCTTTTATTTTATTTATTTTATTGAACTTGGTTTAATGGGGGTAGCCCTTGCAGTTAACACTTTACTCAAAGGGGACCTCGAAGTGACCCTCAAATAAGAATCTATTTTGTCTGGAAGTGCTTATTTTTAAATGCGTTAAATTGTCAATTTTCAAATACTTACAGGAAGAAGTAAAAGAAGCTACAAGTGTAATGACTTTGGACGAAAGAGGTATTCAGAGGGAGATTCACAAGCTTACAAACACAATAACGAATACCGTACAATACGTCATCTTCTTTATCGTCATTGGTGTCTAAAATATTCTTGACAATACATATACTAGCTGAATCGTCTTCATAACACAAGTATCATCGTCATAATCATCATTATCACCACCATCATCATCTTTATCATTGTCAGTCTTCCTCATGTTTATCATCAATTCAATCATTGTCACTATCTTCGTCATCAACATCAATATTATTCTTCATCATTTATTATAATTATTATTATTAAAATGTTTTTATCTCCTACACCCTCACAATAGGGGCGGATCTAGACATTTACACAAGGTGGGGTTCCAGAAAAAAAGGGGCAGTCCAGGAAAAAAAAGGCACCACGGATGGTGTAGCAACAGGGGCAGGACGTGAAGTAAAACAAATAGTTTTATCGGAGATGTACAGAGGGTTTGGATAAAAAAATAAGATCAATATCAATAACAATGGAAACTATTAGTAATAATGAAAATAATAATTTAACACTCGTAATACAATACAGTAGACCAATCTTCATTTTTGAGCGACATCCGACCACGCGCCCACTATGGTATCGACATCGGGCAAGTGACGTCCTGGCAGAAATAAAATAAATGCACTCTGTTTGAAATAGACTTACACCAGATGTCAATATATTCCTTTAGTTGAATAATTGATTATTATTTAAATACTTATGTTTTAATTTATTTATTTTTACAGACGTAGTTTGTGTTTTATCATCAGGTAAAAAGGGGGCACTTCAAAAATTGAGTTGGGGGGGGGGGGTCCGACGTGGATCCGCCCCTGCACAATAGATAGATATATTTTATTAGCTCATTAGGCCTACTCATATTTTTAGAGAAACCTCACATATCTCATATCAAACGTGTTGTATCTACGAATCAGCCAACGGGAGGCACACTTCCAGATGGAATTCGTAAGGAGCTCATTCATATAATAGATAACCAGAGACGTGGAAAAACTAACGTCGGTCCGAGTAACGTAACATCCATATGGGACTACGCTGGGCAGTTGAAGTACTATATCACTCATAGAGTAAGTTCTGGTGAATTTTATATAAACCACACAGTTCAGGGGGGGGGAGTGGGCGTCGGAGAGAAAATAAATATATTTTCTACATATAATTATAAACCCAAAATCGATTAAATTAAGCCGTCGTTAAAACCCCTAAATTGTCATATTTGTCATGGACATGGAACACATTCGAGAGATTTTGAGGGACGGCCGACCACGCCCACGTTTTTCGTCGGGGTATCGCCTAATCCCCTCCCCGGTCGGGGACTGGATCCCCCCGTCGAGCAAATCCTGGAGCGCACCACTGACACAGTTTATAATCTTCAAGCATTTGTTGTGAATGTACGTGGGTTAGGTTGTACACATCGGGATAGGAGAACCTGTATTAACTGTGGTAGTGCGGCCTGATTACTGCCTGTACACATTGTACACTACAGTATGTCTGCTTACTGGTACATACGTGAACACGTAAATTAAATCTATAATAACAATTTTATTTGAGTGGTAATATGTCTGGATGTCGAGATTGCTGTATTGTGGATAATGCGATGTGGGTCTATAGGGGCATAGTCAATACATTTCAATTGAAATACAGCATGAAAAATTGATATTATTTATTTAAAGTTTCTCCTACTTATAATTAGCATCTATCTAAATATTAGACACTGACCGTACAATAATTATAATGCCTAAATCAATAACAAATTTGCGTCCATAAAATATAATGATGACGACTCTGACTCTGATTGTAATGATTATTACAATCAGAGTGATAGCGGATTGATTATTAGATATTGAACCAATTAACGATACTAATATTTGGCAATGGCTGAATATGTAATTATGATTAGTTATTCTTTTTTTTCAGATGTTCCTGACAGGAAGAACATCATTTGGCGTTGTTTTTAGTTTATTGGACGATTTAGATGCGTTGGCAAAATCACGAAACGTAAATACGTCACTTTAATCTTCTTTAGAATTAGTAAAATGCAATGCTTTTTTAGTTTTACTATATTTGCCACAATGTATCCACGTTTAAATTACTCTAAATTGAGTAGTTCGTGTTTTCATAATTTTTAGGGGGAGTTGTTTGAAATGACAAATCTACAAATGATTGTATTCTGGTTTCGTTCGATATATGAATATGCTGTATTACTGAATAATGTAAATGATGCACCTTTGATCAACGGAGAAATACAGTCACCGCCGATTAGTTTGATTGCCACTCACAAAGACCTACTACAAGGGAATGAGGCAGATAAAGAAACACAGGTAAGATATGATTTGTGTTTTATTTGTAAGTTTTTCTATTAATTAAAATTAAATTAACTATATTTATTTTTTCGAAGATCTGTAACAAGTTCAAGAAAATATTTAATGAGATAGAAGGAACAGCGTACGAAAAACACGTTGACCGAACCATGTATGCTGTAGACAATACTAGACACAAGGATAAAGGAATTGAGAAATTGAAGACAAACGTAGGCGGCTACATGAAAGCAATGGCAAGAACTGTGCCCACAAACTGGGTTGAATTCCAGGCTCAAGTACAGGAGGTTGGGAAAGAAAGACTGCGTTTGTCATTGGATGAGGTATCGTATGCTTTCATAAATTATGTAAACAACTGTTACAGTTTCTGTGTGGCCTATTTTTTCCTCACGGCAAAAAACAACTTCACTTCCTAATGCCCATATTCTAAAAACCTTCTTTATTCGAACTTCTAACTAAAACTTTATTTAGTCCTAGTTGCAACTTAAACTTACATTTGTATTCATAAACAACGTAGTCGAAGTTCTAACTACGATTAAATCATGTCCTAGTTTTAGTTCAGCTAAAGACGGCTGGCAAATAAACGATTATCAAACTAACCAATAAAAGAGCTCATTTTAATAGCAGACAAAATTTTAGAGATCCGGTAACGCGGATGAATACAAGCTGCCGTCTGCCGTTCAAAAACACATTTCTCCATAATTCATAATAGGTAATCATCTTCTATAACAATAACTATATTAGTCGTTAACATAGACCTATAACGATAGAAAATTTGAACAGTCACTGGAAATTTGCTTTCTTTGGAGAACTATTATAGTTGAGCCCGAGCGAGGGCGGGAAATCTTTGTGGTTGTTATTGTGAAAGTACGTGACCGCAACGCGAGGGGATTTCAATTGAAAATAATCATGAACTATCGCATGTGACTAGCAAAACATGTTATTTTCTCCTTTTGAAAGCTAAACTTGACGGATTTTTTGCTTAACACACTAAAGATATATCAGACCTGCGTATACAATCGTTTTATTCGGTTCACTTTATCGTGAGTTACAAAAAGCACGTTTCTAGTGGGGCAAATATTTCAGACCCTAGGCAGACTTAAAAAATCGGCCTATGGAGTTATCATTTTAGTCAAGGTTCTCGTGATTTAGTCGTAGTGCTAGTCGAAGTTCGTTTAAAGAATACGAATGACGTAATTTTGAAGTTTTAGCTCGAACTACGTTTAAAGTTCGTGTTAAGAATATCAGAGTTATTTTATGAGGCACATCCTTGTCTTGTGGAAATGTTCCCCACTTATAAAATGTATTGTTGTGCCTAGAAACCTATATTTCTGTGTGTAAAATGGATGGAATCATGTTTCTCTTGTTTCAATTTTTTCATACCGGAAATTAGTTCTTTGGTTGTCATTCTTTAAGGGAAAATTCTATATTAACATTTTCGTTTAACGTTTCTTTAGATCACCAACATTGCCGCTAAATGTGGTATTGCAAAACACATGCTCATCACTGTCCTCGATTATCTAAATGACACTGGAATAATTCTGTATTCTAAGACTAACGAGACATTGAAGAACACGGTGATAATAAACTTACGTATGATGATCGACTTCTTGACGAAAATCATAACAGTGGTAACTCCAGATGACATTGATAAGGTAATTGCCTAAGGTCTGCTTTATTTTCAGGTTTTTGTGGCGTAGCGTCTATGAGCTCTCTCTGACTAAAGCCAGATCCCCATACCTTAAGGGGCCCTGAAATATTTTTCAGCCTATTTTTTTGCTCAGCCTTTTAAATGGTAAAACTTGTATACACCAACTATACGCCCTTGAAGTGTCAAGAAGCCGGGCGGGACTTTTCCCTGTACCTCTCTGGGATCTACACGGACCGATCCCCAATTGTAGTACTACCATGGCCTCGGGCCTCTTTTTACACCACTGATAGTAATCATAAGATGTGGAATCATTTGCAATTTAAGTATTCGTATTGTTTTATTATAGATCCCTAGGATGATGATATTATGGCATAGGCTTGATTACGAGGGAATACTGGAAGAAGAATTGCTACGTCATTTATGGAGACATGAGATTATGAAGGACGCCAGCAATTTTGACGTCTTCTTAGAACTGATGAAGATGTTTGGATTGCTTTTTGAGAGGCAACTAGTAAGTTTATACTTAGATTTCTAATAATAATAAATACTGTAATAATAATAAGATTTATAAAGCGCACAAATCGACTGCAGTAGTGCTCAAGGCGATTTCTACACGATTTTAGATTCACAATGAGCTACATAGCCCTAAATGTTCACTTAAAAATTTCTATTTTCAAAGGGTGCTAAACAAGGTTACCGAACGTTTGTCGTACCCTCTCGGATGCAAGTAAATAAAGAGAGCTTGGAAGTTAAGAAAGACGAGATGCAGACGATATCGATTTTTGTGACTCCTACGGACTTCCTCCCAGACGCTATCTACAATATGCTTGTAGTTGCATTCTTAGACTTGATGAGGACCAAAGGTAGAAGTTGCGATCATGTGAACTTGTTCCGGAATTGTAGCGACTTTGACTTAGATGATGACCACGTGGTGAGTCTTGGTGAGGTCAAAATAGCGAACAGACACGCATTAAAGGTAACATAGACATTAATGTAGTTAACATTAAAATCTGGTTAATTGCCGATTGCTAACAATAGCAATATCAATAGCAACAACTGCGATAGTACCAACAGCGGCAGCAGCATTAGTATAGTTCGAAGGGGTAAATTGCATACATGTTAATTTTATTAATAAAAAGGAAAGCCGCGTTAGTCTGATACAGTATAGAGCAATATAAAGTAAATGACAGCAGCACATAGTGGGCTTCATCAGAAGACTGTATAAATGGGATAAGAAACAACTATAGTATACAACTGAAATAATGGGGGCGGTCCTACAACAAACAGGACCTCCCCCATTATTTCAGTTGTATATTATAGTTGTAGGACCGCTCCCATTATTTCAGTTGTATATTATAGTTGTAGGACCGCCCCCATTATTTCAGTTGTATATAATACAGTAGTTGTTTCTTATCCCATTTGTACAGTCTCCTGATGAAGTCCACTATGTGGACGAAAGCTAGAGAATAAATTATTGTTAGCCTCATAAGTGCTGCTGTCATTTACTTTATATTGTTCTATGTTTATTTTGTTATTTAAAACTTTGTTGCTATTTTGTACACTGCTGCCTGGTAAACATTAAAATGTACTTATATACAATTATGTATACATACACTCTTGCACAAAAGATGTTAAGTATATAATAGATATTGATTTCAGTATTTATTTTCTGTTGTTAAAAGCTCCAAATATCACGCACTATTGTATGTGGTCGTGGTAAAGAAGAGGAGGTCCTTGAACCAAATCCTAGCGTCTGCATGGAGGTAAGTTACAATAACTGAACGCTGTATAATTATTGAATTGATTTTGAAAAAAAAAACCTGAATGTTTCGTTAGTATCAGTTTTATTTAAAATGAAACAAGAATAGTGAAACTGACATCGGTCATGGCGTTGAATTTTGTGATTTTTTTCCCTATTTATTGAAAAGATAAATATTACATTATTTCATGTTTTATTATAGCTATTAAGTTACCTCAGACTGCAACTTAAAACAGTATACGGTACTTTTGAAGGAGTCGGCTACGAATTATGCGTCCTTTGTGACGTGTGTGAACCTACGCTTCATCCACATTTGCATAAACTCGATGAATGTTTGGAGAAAGATAAAATGATTTGTGGAAGACGGAAGGCAATGGCAACAGAGCATATCAAACGATTCTTTACAACAGGTTGGTTGACCATTATCACCTGTTTTATTTATGTAGTAATACATTTGATTATGACTCTTTTAAAAGGGGTATTATTAAGTCGCTAATAGTAAAATTTATATTTTGTTATTAATACTGTATTATAGTGACAAAATTCTGGCAGTAAGCCTATTTACGGAATAAAATGTTAAATATCATTTCGCTACTGTATAACATATAAACAGATAAGTATATCAAGCAGCCCTTAAACGAGGCGTGCCTTATTTTCACTTGTATAAAAAATTGTCTCCGGCGAAATTCGAACCTAACTTTAAATCCTCTTGCTGCAATGCTTTATACATATACACATATACTATATATAAATTGGAAACGGTGAAGAAGAGGAATATGCGAGTGCGAAAAAAATGTTTGTCCAAACCGGGATTCAAACCTGTGACCTTTAGATGTATATGCAGACGCCTTAACCAACCTGGTCCATTGAGGCTTTTGTTGGAAGTGCGAATCCGATTGAAGGCAATTGATTTCGCACATTCTACAGTATGTCTGTACAACGATTCGATGTGTACACGTTTCATAGAAATCATATTTATATGACCTTTTCTTAAGTATTTTAAACGTACAGTTTTTGATTTATTTATTTTACAGGTTTTGACGAAAAATCCAAAAAAGAAATTATGAATTTTCTGGCTCTTCAAACATTGATCATTGGCCGTGGAACTAAAGAAATAAGAAGGTACTTTCTAGATAAAACCGGACTCACCGTACACGAAGTTAAACCGTTCTTGATAAGAGAGAGGCAAGATGGAGTTTTAAAGGACGTTGACTTTGAAGGCCAAACAGCAATTGTTTTTGCATCAGCCGACAATTTTGAAGCATTTGATATGAACATCTTGATGAAGTTGATTCGCTATTGTTGTGATAGCAACCATGATAATGACTTTTGGGAGAATCCCACAAATGATGACAATGCTGAGCTGGCAAATCTCATTCGCATCTATAAATATAAGAAGAATGTTCTCGACAGTAGCTACAACAACAGAGTCACAGATGAGGATTTTGACAAGCGATGGAAGGAACTAACGGCAATGTTTACAGGTGTTGGTGTTCCTGTTGAAGACATTGACAATTACCGCGATCCACGGAAATACAAAGAAGGAACTGTTATTGGTAGGTAACTGGTCATTCAAAACAAAAATACATGATTGTCACTTTAATATTGTTCAGCGATATCTGTTGTTGACTCGTGTTTTTATTATAATCTTGTTGCCTACCGTACCACACAGTTCTGTTAAGGAGCATCATGTCTTCGTCGGCTTAACTTGTATTAGTCAATGTGTTAAACCATAGTTCTTATTTGTTAAATATTAATAATTATTAAGGCTTGTTGGCACGTTAAAGAACGTTGTCCATTATGAAAGAAATGACTTTGGTGAACAGGCGTTCACCAATGACGCAAATATCACCATGGGTACTACCACGCTAGTAAATATCCAGGTCCGACCAAGTGTATTAAAATAGAATAGGACTATACTGTATACCTAAAAAATGTTAACACAATAAAATGTTACTATTTTGGTTTTGTTATTTACTCGTGATAGGTTTTAACCAGACGGAGGTTGAAGAAATCACAAATTTCCAAGCACTGTTTTCTGTTATCGTTGATCTCGGCTCCGTAAGGATGAGGGAGTACATTTTGGAGGTTAAAGGTCTTAAGAAGAAGGACATTGGGAAGTTTTTATTGGAAGAAGAGGCAAATGATAGCTTTAAGAAAGTTAGATTGTTTGCGGATCAAAAGACAAAAATGTTCACATTCAATGCAGACATCGATAAATTTGACATATCAATTTTAATGTGTATAATACGCAACTGCTGCAGCAATCTTCCTGAATCGTTTTGGACGAATCCAAATGTACTGCCTAACCTGGTACTTATACATCAGTACAGGAACGGCGTTTTGGCACATACTCCAAACAGTAGAATGTCAACAAAGGACTTTGAAATCGAATGGAAGAAAGTGGAATCCATGCTGCACGCTGCTGGCGCTTCTAAACCTGACATTGACAAATACAAAATGCTACGATTTGCAACATATTAATAAGACGTCTAAATATACATATATCAAGGAGGTATAAAAATATATGTATATATTGTACATTTTTACTGCTCTTAATATCGATTTTACCACTTAAGCTAAATTTACACTAGACACGATAACGACACGCCACGATAAAAATTAGCTCTGTGAAGAATATAAAGGACGCGATCATGTTGTTGCAATGTCGTATGGTGTCTAGTGTAAATGTAGCTTTACGCCAGAGGGTTCGAAATCGAATGGAAGAAAGTGGAATATAGCCTATGCTGAACATTGCATGCACTTCAAAAAGTGACAATGACAAATACAAGAGGCTTCGATTTACAACTTATTAAAGAAGACGTATTAATAATCTATTATTGTTATTTTAAAAGAAAAATATTTTTCATTATTTTTAGTAATATTTTTGATATCAAATTTCACGCCAGCATTGGCGAATAATTGTCAAGACGATATAGCTAAGAGTAAAGATGGTTCGTTACAAATGGATTTTGAATCACTTCAAACGAATGACCCAAGTAATCAAATACATTTATATAGTACCAGTTACGGTACCATAATAGCCATAAAACATAGACTTTGTATAATGTTAACAAAATGGAACTTATTTACAATGTCAATTTACTTTCTTATTAATATCCAGGAACTGATTTGCAAGAAAAGGAGTTAAACAGGTCATTAGTCTCTCACACATTCCCATTTTTATTTGTAACACTGAGAGTAGTTTAGTAAAGTGCCGTACTAAATCAAACTCTTAAAGGCATTTTGAAATATATATCAGCCAAACCCGCATCATATTTATGAAGAGACATTTCTGTAACATTCCGACCCGAATTTAAATTCAATCAATTTCAAGTGAATGATAGTAAAACGGTAATTTTGGAAATATGGCACCTGGATACCATGGAATAGAGCCTCTACCCCTCTACTACGTCTGTTGGCGGGGAATTCTTACCCACCTCAGCCCCACATGGTTAAGGTTGAGATGAGCAAAATTTAAAAATCTATAATAATTACTAAAATGGATTGTCAAAAAGGTTGAAGTCTACACTAAAGTCTGGACAAACAAAAATAGCCATGGTGGAATTTTGTTTAAATATTAACATTAAAAAGACAACGTGATGATTGCGTAATATAGTACCCTAATTTCATACCTTAAATTTTGTTTGGGTATTAGTATGTATGTAATTGATTTTTTGAGGGAAAATGGGCCGGCCAAGGCCGGTGCGGTCCCTAGATTTCGTCATTGGTGTGGGATTTTGCCCTCCCCCGGGATCCAGGATGTTTTCTATGGCCCTGGAAAAGTATGTGTCCATCCATTTCCGGGATCTAGAGTGCATTATTATTAATAAGGTACCGTAGTTCGTAAGTCAAAACAGTTTTACCTCCTAACGTTTCCATAAAAATCGCTATCACGCTATTGTAGATTCCTTTGGTAACGCTGATTCATGGCCAGTTGAATAAGGGAACGTTTCCGATTGCGTCGGGGACAGCTACGCAGTGCGCAAGGATTGCAGTGAAAACGCTGTACCGACTGTGTAGTGATCGTATGGAAACCGCGCTTAACGCAAAATCCTTGATCCGTTTCTATTGTGGACATCGTGTCTGCATCGAGAGTTGCAAACAATGGAAGGAGCCATGACAGTGCTCCTCCGTTTACCTTTATTCCTTCCTGGCTCATTGTATTTAGCTGACTCAGATGCAACCCCCCATAAATATCCTATTTAATGATTTAAAAAAAAGAACAAAAAACAAAAAACCCATAGGCCTAACAATAGGCTTATATACACTGAAAAATTAATTATGTCTTCTCTGCATTAGAAGATTAACAAGTAAAGATTAAAAGTGGATTTATTAGCTGGTTGTCCTTAGGGTGTGTGTGGCGGGGGTGTTGGCACATGGGAGGGAAATACATTTAAAACAAAGCTGCTTACTTCTTATACAAGACGTTTTAATAATTACTCAGAAGTCTGGTAGCTTAGCAAATAACATGTCACACTAAACGGTACAGAGAATCTTTCCCACCAATTGCAATCCATTTATTTAACACCTATTTCAACAGAAACTATTCAGTGGCAAGTGATCTTAATTGATATTCTCTGTTCATTATATAATTTATAATGTTATATACTTTTGTTTCCTCACACCTTGAAACATTTAATTTTATTCAACTCAATGCTAATAACTTATTTTATTTTATTTTATTTCATTTCACAATCAACAGCGGGGAGCCCGCCACTTACAAAATAGAATAACATAAAACAAAGAGAACAATAAAGAACAATCCAGTTACAATACACACAAAAACAGTCAATAATCTAAATATATAACATAATTTTACGTTAAACGATCGATGCTTATCGATACTTATCGATGCTGTCAATAAATCATGCAGTTTATCATATATTTTACTCTTAATGTTAATTATATTTTATTATATTCTGTTTTTAAGTTTATGTTATTTTTGTTTTTTAAGCAACTGGCAAAACAAATTTCATTGTTTACTTATTTGTTCAATGACAACAAAGTATTCTTGATTCTCGATTCTTCTTTATCATGTTAATGATTAAACATAAATGTCTGCATAATGATGGTGTAATTAGGATTTGGATACGTCACCCTCTCTAAGAAAACCTGACGAATATATTTTACGCCGAGAGATTAAAGAAACATTTAGTTAAGGAAATTATATTTATAAAATTATGACAGTTAGACCTAGACCAAAGACAGTTTTCTATTGTCTGAGGATCGGTGATTGTAATGTTAGTCAATCGATTTAATATTTTCAAGCAATTGCGATATTGGTAGTTCCTAAAATATTCCATATTTTGTTTATTTAAAAAGGTATTTGCCTTCAGAAAAATAATCATATTGCTTAAATTCAGGCTCCAAAGATACCGGTAAGTAATTTCTGATATAGGCCTATTATGTTGTAGAACTGATTTTTCAAAGACAGACAAAAGTTGTCTGACGAAAATGTGGGGAACGGTGAATAAGATACAGATTTTTTAAACAAAAACTGGGGAGGGGGTAAAGTGTTAAAAAAAAAGCGGTTACGTCCATTTTTTCTCCGGAGTCTGAATTTAACAATGAATGAGCAAAGAGGGTTTTCTTGTATTATACTTTGCTTGATGGAATGAATCACCTCATCATTTCCTCTAATTCGTTTATAGTAAGTTTGTAAATAATATGGATAATTTGTTATTCATGATGAAATAAAGTATCGCGATATTATGAATGCCGGTACAAAAGTTGAAGTATTTATCTCGGTTTGTATCTGAAATTAATAAGTGAACGTATCAATTTTTTACATAAATCGTTGAAAAAATAATAATCTGGGTCCACTGAATATTTAGTTGGTAAATATGGATAATTAATTTGGTTTTTGATAATGACGTAATAAATATCTACATAGTAGAATCTCAGCTACAATGTCTTGTAGTTCTTTGCTTTGGAGTATTTCAGTATTGTTAAACTTTTCTGTATATTTTTTGAAATAGTAATAAAATTGATTTGTAACTATTTTCTCGTTTTATTTGTGGCCCATTTGGAATCGAAACATTTCATTAATCGTTGAAAAATAATCTGGTTCATTGAATGATACTTTAATGTTTTCAAATATTGTACTTAAGCGATACATATTGGGAAACTGAACAATACAGTATCTATTTTTATTTCATTATTTGGTTTATCAGTTTGCCATGCTATAGAATACGAAAATCATTAAGCTACCTATAAGTCTTTTTGAAATCAGAAAAAAAAATGATAACGCTCCAAGCTTAGATAGGCCTATATGAAATAACATAAACACATTAAAGTATAGGAAACTTGCATGGTTAAAAAAAAGGGCGCCACCTACGTTGGGCACGACTTCCGCCTCATTTTTACAATGCGAGAACTCTATCTTGTATTTCTAGTATCTTTGCGCCAGGTAGCGCCATCAAGTTTGATCTCAAACTCAGACTCAGTGCCTACCGTTTTTTGTTGACAGTGTTGATACGTACTTGACAGGTCGTAGTTGTTATTATGACAATCATCGCTATTAAACATGTAACAAACACCTAAACACCTATTACTAGGATGAGGGAACAGACGGAAGAGAACAAAGGTATGTCCACCCAATAGCGTATTATTTTATATTGTGTTTATTTTGTAAGTTCATACTGATACTAGCTAGGGCCTAGGCCGGGAGCTCTAGCAAGGGCCTAGTCCTCCTTATTGTTCAGTAGTCAAACTCAGTTGAGACAATCTAGCCTAGGCCTAGTAGTTAATCGCAACCTGGCTGGTCGATGGAATTACGTTCAGTATTGTAGACCAGCTCTACTATTATTCCTTCTTTTATTATAGACCATACACGTCAAGCCACACGCATTCGGCGCGAGACAACGACATTGCGTCTGTTTCCGCTCTCTATTTAATATTGTTGCTTGAGTTGAGGCGGGGATGGGGAGGTTACGGGGGAGGGGGAGGCTGCTCTTATACACATCTAGATGTGTATAAGAGACAGGTTTAAGAGATGGGGTCTAGGTCTAGCCTAGGCTAGGTTTAGCTAGTAAGTAATAAGGGAACACATACTGTAGGCCTAGAAAAATTATTAGATAATCATTTTTTTAAAAATTATTATTTTAAAATGATGAATGCATAAATCAGAACAATAGATTATTTCGCCTTTTTATGTCGATGTGGGAGGAACTGTTTTTATTTTGAGTTGGCTTTAACAAGAATACTGTAAATATTGTATAAAAACTGGTTTAATTTTATTGTTTTAATGTACTTTATTTCCAGTCACAAAATTGCATTGTTTTTTTATGCTGTTGAAATAAATGATGCAAGAAAAATATATTTCCCAAATTTTTGACATGGACTGCAGTGATAATCTAACAATTTTAAACTTACCTATCATCCCATAAGCCTACTTTGTATTTTCAAAGTTATGATATTTACAGTACATGAAATAGTAATGTAAAAAATTTCAATTTTGTAGGTTTTCAAAGTGATGAATCTTGCAATGGTCTACATATTTAAAAGAATCAAGTTTGTATGTAGTACACTAGCCTAGTAATAATTGTAGTTAGTAGTACAATTATTCATTTTATAAATTTAGTTCAATCATTTATTCTAAAAAAAACTCTGATTTCAATAGTTATTATTTCCAATGTGATAATAAATAGGCCCTGCATATTTTTCTATAATAACAATAATGTTTGTGTGTCATAGACTGTATAATTTCTTTCTATATTACCATACTGTATACATAGTGTAATAGGGTCAAAAATTTGCATCAGTACAGTATGACTACAGTATACTGAGTATTATAGAGCAATCCATACCAGAACAATGAACTGCCAGTCACAGTGGCAGTTTGACGAATGAGAGCCTGTTTTGTTCTGTAAAGTTATTTAATTGCATGGATGATACCTGAACAAATACAGTAGCTCAAGTTCTGCGCAGAAAAAATTGCTAGGAAAGTAGGTGCGTAGAATTGTGACTAGACCTGCTGCATACAGTGGAGGTATTTGTCAATCTAATTTTTCGGCAAAATCTGATCTGGAAATTGACCCTTATTTTTCGAAATGCACGGACAGATTTCTAGGCCTAATTTTTGTGCTGAGTATATATTCCCCCACGCAGACTTTACAGTCTGGAGTGAGACAGACAGAAAACCAGCTGTTGTGAGGTGGTCGTGGTTATTACTAATAAATAGAGAGTTGGGGGTCAAAAACATAAAAATTTATTTTGTGAAGGCAGGATGAGCACGAATGTAGGTACATGTGTTATAAAAAAAAAACACCAAATTAAAAATCTATAAATATAGTATGAAAAATAGAAAGGTCCACAGAACATAACAGATGTTTTAACAAGTAATAGTAGACTGGAGAATGCTAGCGATTACAATACTTTTTCTTTTTGAAAAAGGTATAATTTATTGATAGCAAGGGTATGCAACAGTCCTCGCTACTGCATTGTCGGTCTGGTGAGAACGCCCATACCTACCTGTAGTAATTCTAGCAGCCATAGGCTTTTTGGCATGGAGGATAGGTAGCTAGTGGAAACTGACACCTGATCAAGTACATGAAAGTTGCTTTGATATGTTTTCTCAAATATGTATTATCATCTTCAATTAACATCATGCTGGTCTAGTTTAAACATTTTTCAATTTATGAATTACAGTACCGGTTGGTCTACCCTTGCTACCAAGGGGTACTTAAGACATTTTACTGCATGAGTGACAGAAAATAATCAAGTATGTCAGCTAGTTCTTGCAATGAAGGACTCTGAAAGTCCTACATTACCTAACAATGTTTGCAAATTCTTGTTCACACTTTGTCTGTTGCATAGCATTCGCTATTAACATCAAACAACCTGTGTGGACGTAACTATGTGAAAACAAAGTTATGTTTACTTTACAAACCGTAAGTTCTTAATATTAAGATGCCACCAAGGACAATAAATTACACCATAACAATGGAATCTATGGTAAAATACATTATAACAAAATTGAAAGAAAATATTGTATAACAATAGAAAACAATAGCGCAGTGGTACACTATTGATATTAAACATATAACAAACTTTGGGTACACCATGTGTAAATAAAATAAAAGAATATGGTTTTTATTAAGGTAAAAACCACTGGTTGGTTGTATTGATATTGCTGTAGATTTTTGGTATTGCTAAACCCTGCAAACCTCCAATACACACCACAAACCCCAGGTTTTGATGGGGTTACTGGTGTATTTTTGGAGGTTTGCAGTGTATTTCCAGGTATTTTTCACAAAAAAACACAGTTTAGCAAAACCTTTTGTTAGCCAACACCCTTGGGTTGGAAAAGTGGTCACTTTATGATAGTATTAGATCTCAAGTAAGTTAATCAATTCTGCATTTGCTGATCAAGTATTTCTCAGTGGCATAGATCTCCCAACCCCAGACCTCCTCTTAATGATATTCCCTGAAAATTGTCTTGAATTCTTTTGTATAGAGTTTCTTGTTTGATCCAAATCAATAAAAGATCTAGGTTAAATGTGTAGCAACAGCATGTCAATTAGTGATTGCAAACATCTTGTTGTTAACTTGGTCAATTACTTGGCAGTGTTATGAACCGTGAACACTCTGTTGTTTTCAGTGGTGGTTGGTGGCTAGTATGCTGACTGATGAATATCAAATTCATTATTTGTGATCAATGAAAGCAAAGTCAACTATGAGACGATTCACAAGTGTCTTATCTTTGACATGCCTTTAATTCAGTCTGTGTTGAGTGATTGTACAAACATATTGATCGACTGCATCAATAATGCTTTGTATTTAATATTTGCCTATACTTTGTAATTTAATGGTTGTAAAAAGCCAATATGTTTTGGAGATCTTTTTCAGTGACCTCATATCCTGAATAACAGGCCTGTTCTATTTTTTGAACTATTGAATTTTCTGGCAGACAATTAAGTAATCTTTGTGTCTCTTGCAACGATGGCAGTGGAGTGTCTAGGGGGTGCATTTCCCCAAGAAATACTCATTCCCCATTCCCCTCTCCATTGAGAATGCACTAAAGCAAAAAAATCATTCTTAAGTAGTTGAAAATCACCGCAAGCCACCTTTAAAAGTTAGTGTCCTCTCACCTAATTATCTATCCCCCCACTTCATCTTTGTTCCCCATCAGCCTAGAAGGTGTTTGCACTTCAGTACATAAATTGATTATTTGCTACTTTTACTTTGTTATTCTCTGTGGCAGCGAAATTTGCCTGGATAGACTACAATCTTTGTTTTTTATTCATTTGCTTGCATTGGAGTACTTACATGTACAGTATGCTGCTGCAACAAGATTTGCCAATTACCCTGTAAACTGTCTTTGTAGACTAAGTTCTACATTATCTCGTAATGTACAGTAGGCAAATACCAATTTGTACTTTACCAGTATCAACATTTTTTGTTAATTAAATGTTTAATTTAATGCAATAGATTCAGCAACAACAAACTACTGTACAGCTTATCTTGTGATACGTTTAAATACAGTACCTTTATGTGTAAGTTTATTTTAGGTAGTCCTCAAGGCTTTGGAAATATTTTTTTTTAGTACAAATAATTTGAAATGGTGTTCTTTATTATAGCTATCAAGCGGTTTACATACACTGGGCCTTCTTCCAAAAACCATCGTGAAGATAGCGAAACTGCCAGTGCTTCAGGGTATGATATCAGCAGACCTTATGTTACTAAGAAATCAGGAAAATCAGGTAATTGTTTCTGTATATTTAAAGGTTTTTTTTAAAGTTTAACCCAATTTTTTAATAACAGCCTCCTATCTGTGCTCTGAATACAAAATGTAGTATGAATAAACTGATGGAGGACTATTGTACTTGGTCAGAAATTATCATGTTTGGTTTCAAATTTCAGTATTCTTAATTCAGAATTCTTGTAACACTGTATTCAGTACTTGAAATTATAGTCCTTTAATTCTTATTTAATTTATGTTGACATAAATTATACATTCCTTCATCAATATTTGAACAATGGAATATGTAATTGGAGACAATACTTTATTACAATTATGAATAATCAATAATATTAAAAGAATGATATTAGTTTTCCCATTTTACTCTATATATGGAATATCCAGGCAAGAAAAAGTGCTTTACTGTTGTTGTTAGGTGTTCAAGTTCATAATGATTATTCCCATTTGCCCCAGGAGTGCCTGGCTTTCTTTTAGTTAGAAGCATATCTCCTTAATTCTGAATTAATATTTAAACTCAAATCCTAGGTGTGACCCCAATGACAGACATTAACTGAATCTGAATTAAATCTGAAGCGCTATCAAGACTATCACATTTTCTTTGACAAAAAACTGACTTATGCCCATATACTGTATTGGATTTGATTGGGTATAAAAACAAGAAGGATAACCCACGAAAGTCTGAAGAAGACTTATTTCCAGTGGGGTCCTTCTGGTGGTATTGGGCAGTACACCGGGAGACAATCCCCTACTCTTTTCCGTTGAGTGTACTGCATTCTTTAACATGCACGTGGGCCATAATGCACATAGGACCAAGGGCTTAAAATGTCTTATCCGAAAGACAGTGCGCTATCGTAACTTGCATTTCAACCCTCCAGCTGAAATTCAAGGAGAGCATTGAATTGAACCGGGAACCAAGAGATCTCCATGGATCAGCGCACACACAGTGGCTACCACCAGTTTAGCCGACTGAGTTTACTAGAGGTGCCTATATATGGTCATGATGTGATGTCATCATGACCATATTTAGGCATGTCACGTCTTTGTCAAACAAATTTTGATAGTCTGGCCGGGGCTTTAAATTAAAAAAAACACCAATTTTTTTTTATAGTTTTTGACTTCAAAGAGACATGGAATTCCAAATCGTCACCGTCTTCAGCATTTTTTGACATGGCGTTACCAACGAGCCCACGTATGTCTACCACAGGGTATTACTCACGCTATTCCAGTTACAAAGGAGGCAAAAAGGACAGTGACCTTCCAAGAAACAAGTCACCTTCCAGTAGCCACGAGCTTTCAAGTAAATATAAACAATTTCAGAACATAAGTTTATATTACTCATGCTTCTTGTTTAATCAAATATAGGATCCCATATATGAGCCAGCATTTTGCTAGCCTAATAATATTCTGTTCAGTAGCTCTGGTTTATTATAGGTTTTCAGTGTATTTTCTAATTGTTTTTCTTTTTGCTTTGTGAAACCTTTTCTATAATGTTGTTTTTGAATATATGGAGTACCTAATATATTTCAATTCAAATTCCAATGTAACTTAAAACCTACTTTTTCTTGCCAATCTATTTCTAGACTAAATAATACAATATTGCATAGTCTGATGAAACCACAGAAAATGCCCAAAAATGACCTGGTACCCCAAATTGTTATGATGTGGGAAGGGTGTAGCTCTAGAATGTGTATACGGGGGAGGGATAAAAGTTACCAAAGAGAGGTCTGACAATTTTGGGCAACTAAGACCTGCAGAGTTTCGGAGGGAAGCTTAGGTGTTGTTGGTGGGAGGGGGTGGGGGAGATATGCTGCTGGTGCCTGGAGAAACTTAGCAATTTTGGTCAATTTTGAGCTGTTCTGTGACATTTTAAAATCGTGGATATCCCGGAGGCATTTAGGGGGAAAAAATAAATGATTAAACTGTATATTGTACAGATAACATTTGGTGCTGGAGGCAATTTTTTTGTTTAGAAAACTTTCAATTCATGGTCGAAGGCACAAACCTTTTTTTTTTCAGGCCTGGTAATGCCACAAGAAAAACTAGATTATTTTTTGGTCCAGTCATTTGTGACCGATGGGGACTTGGCCTGTTAGATTGGGGTTTAAGTTTTCTTTCCCCACCCTCTTCTTGTTGCCTTTTTCTTTGTGGGTATGATATTTAATCAACTTATTTCCAGGTAGTACAGGTGTATCATGGAACCAGTCGTCACGCACTGGCTACTCGTACTCTCAGCATGACTCACCAACCACTTCAGCCACTATAGGCAGTAAAGCCTCAAGCCGGGCTTACACTCAAGGTGCAGTCGGAAAGGCTAGTATGCAAGGTTAGTTCATCGTAGCAATATTTTGGCTGCCTAAAGAAGAGAAATCAACAAAATGAAGTTTAATGTAATATATTGCAGTTGTGAATGTTTATATAAAAATATAGCAATAATAATATAACCTTAACTTTCCTAAAAACCTGATCTTTCTTTGTGGCATAAAAGAAATAGGATAGGAAAATGTTTGATACAGTATGAAACACATGAATGATAACCTGCAGACCTTTTTCTAGGAAGGTCCCTCTAATGCTGATTTGGAAAGTATACTGGGAGACAATACCCTACTTTTTTCTGCAGCATTGCATTCTGTTGTAATTGTAATCAATACCTTAAACTATTTTTGAAGTGTAAAGCACTTTGTCGATTTGTAATACTGTACAATCTGTTTTGTGTTCATGCTGTTCTGGGGTATATCAATTTTGCCCTAAACCTTGTTTTTCAACCGTATAGATTTTTATTAGGATGATATTTTTTGTGGTCGTGCTTTTTACTGGTTCTAAATATAATCCCTGTGCAATCAAAATAATGCTCAGAATGTTTACAAGTTAACCGAGCACGTGTTTTAATACATTAATTTGTTTGAAACGTTTACGCAGATATGATGCATTGTCACTTGATTACTTTATGGCCTGAAACTTTATTGAACCGAAAGGATTGTACATACTCAATTCAGAACTAACTATTCTCTCTACATTAATTTGTTTGAAACGTTTACGCAGATATGATGCATTGTCACTTGATTACTTTATGGCCTGAAACTTTATTGAACCGAAAGGATTGTACATACTCAATTCAGAACTAACTATTCTCTCTGATTGGTGATCATATTAATTTTTAAATACTGTTTTATTACACAATCTTTTCTGCAACTTGTGTGATTATAGTGACTGGCTACTTAATTAGTCAATTTGATGTTTTAATTAAAATAGAAACTGTTTCCAAGGATAAACATATAGTTTAGTTAAATGAGGACTAGTTCAAGGCAAGCTAGAATTGGGACACCACATGGTCTGTATATTGCCAGATTAAGACCAAATTTTTAAAATAGCAGTTGTCCATTTTTTGGTACAATCCTGCCGTGTGCATTGTATTTTTCTGACTAGATTCATTAAAACTAATTTAATACATTTTTTTGGCAGATATGGGTAGAACTGCTGGAAGTTACTCAGGTCAAGCAAAAAACATTAAAGAAAGTGCAAGCAGTAGCTGGAACAACCTTTGATAAACAAATGTGTTTTAAAAATTAAGTAAAAAAAGAATAGTTAAATGTAGTAGATTAAGGAGTAAACTTTAGTTCATGCTATCAACAACTTTTATGTGACAAATTTATGTCATGTGCCCATATATTGGTATCAACATTTTAGCCATTATCGGCCCACTGCAAGGTGAAGGCATCTTCAAGCTGAAACCATCAATGTTTGTCCTGTGCAGCCCTCATCTAAGATATTCCGGCAAATTCCATGATCTCATCCCTCCATCTGACTTCATGTCTTCCTCGACCTTGTGTGCTTAACACTCTGACCGCTTAACACTCTGACCGCTAGGGGTTTGAAAAAATAGTATCAGCCACCGCCAGACTTTTTAGCAAATTTCAACACTTTTCCGAAGCTTGTTCAGAGTGCGTATGTGATCAGATTGACATGTAGTGAATACTACAAGAACTACAAACATTTTAGCTTCACAATGGTACCAAACACTTTATTCTAATCACAATCTGTGACCTGTAACAGTAAAATGAAAATGACTCACTTTTGGAGATTTACGCAATTTTGGACAACGAAGCTGAGATAATCCCGATTTTGTGAATTTAAATCAGTACCGCTCTACGCTAATGTAAACAAACAAATAGTGAAATACAGTCCACACTGAATATAGTGTTCAAATTGTTAGTATATGTCAGTTTTTACCCCATCTTTCGGATTCTGTAAAAAAAAAGCTGAAACAAGGAGATCTCCATGCTTGGCGGTCAAGTGTTGCTTTACCAAGCACAGAGATTTGTGTTTGGTGGGCAGAGTGTTAATGTGGAAATCCATTCAGTTGTTAATTTCATCCATCTGTTTCATTTGTTTTGATAATGTCATATCCCAAATATGGGCATATCACATTTATTTGTCACATAAAATTTGATAGTATGAGCTGAGTTTAAAATACATACAGTGAACTGAAAGGATTTCACTTTAAACCCAAAAATTGCTGTATATTAAAAAGGTCAGAGGTCAGTATCATGTTTTCCATGGTTTATAGCAATTCTATAATTTTTTATGAATATTTTAATGAATTAGAGAGGTTTTAATATGTTTTACATGTTATTTTCTTGATGAAAATAATGTGTTATTTATGGGGGTCATATCCGGGGTTAAAGGGTGATAGGTGCTGATGCTTTAAATGAGGAGGGGAAATCTGACAATTTATTAAATTTCTATTCTTTGTCTATTTTGGGTGTATGGCCCTTGATGGTGTAAAAGATCTCATTCATTATTGAATTTAACTTTAATAAAGCTAAAATAAAATGGAGGGTACATAAAAATAGAGGGAGGGGGTATAGAAGAAGATGGGGGTGTTACAGGTACCAGCTTTTTAGTGAAAAACTTGTGCATATAAAAACTGATCTTATAAATGGACCTCTGAGTAATGTTGCTTTGAAGAAAGTATATCTGCAAATGTTCTTCTCATTGTTGTATGATGTGTATATAAATATTATTTATATTTGTTTTCATGTGGATACCGAAGTGCGAGTGTCACCCGAAAAAATAAGTAAAATTTGATGCTATCCAAGACACAGTAAAAGTTCATACCTTATTGTTCTACATACAGTAGCATCCTATCAGTTTATAATTATATCCTTAGAAGTATAACACCTAAACCAAAATAAAATAAGATTTTATGGTAAACACTGTACTTGGCTTTAGTTCACAGCTACATACATTAACTTTAGTTAAAAATTATACACAAATTGTACACATTATTTGGCATATTGAAATTAACTACATATATAATTAAACTGTTCTGTTTATCCACCTATTATTTCCAGAATATCAGGTTAGTTTTTGTAATGTAGACATTGTTCATATTAAGTAAATATATTTTAGATAAATGTTACAAATGTAGACTATATTGTGATGAACAAGATAAACAAATGAAGTATATCTTTTGTTGAATCTCAAATGTACATAATTTATTATTCACAAAGAACAATAGGGGAAAATATCTATTGAACTATTCTAGTTTTGACTTGTGTGTGTAACCACATGTATGTAGTATTGTAGTTAAAACTTAACCCAGCCGGCCCAGGACCTCCTAAATTATTTTAATGGAGAAAAAAAGAAATTTATGTTTGTGAGTGCCATTTCCAAACATCTAGATGTACCATAAATAATCTTTTTTTTTTACCTCAGCCCCATCGATGGTGGGTTGAGGATGGTTGTGGATGCTACACCCTCCATTTGTGAAAGTCTCTCCCTGGGCCCCTATATTTTGAATTCCTGGATTCACCACTGTTATTGTTAGCAATATTAGACAAGACCGTTTTCATGCTTTTGCAATGCTGATTCGGTGCTAAACTTACATAATGTTGCTTAGCTAAATTTCACCTACACTACATAATATTTGTAATGCATTCAGAGTTCTCCAGTGTCATTTCCAGGGGGTGGGAGAGAGGGGTGGGCTAGTGGCGGTGGTGTGTGAATATAATAATAATAATATATGTGGATTTGAGTTTAATGGAGGTTAAAATTCCTGAAAGAAACACTGGATGGACCTCAAAATATCTGTTTTCAGAGTTTTGCCATGAAAGGGGTAAACTTAATATTGATATATTTATATTTCTATATAAAAAAATAGCAAAATTATGTATTTTGAAATCTGGTGTCATATGGCTGTTACTGAGGTATTGCTTTAAATGCTCAATAACAAGTGCCTGGCATACATTATAATACATTACTGTATGTACCATATAATGTGAATGCAAATAAAGTGGCATAAAGCAATTAATAATTGAGTTGTATTTATACTGAGCTTATTGTTTTTAAAGATGTACAGCTCCTTCATAAGCTAAACAGTATTTAAAAATTCAATTCTATTTGAATTTCCTAATTTATAAGTTAACAATTTATGTTAATTTTAGCATAGACCATACCCTTCAATTAGCTGGTAATCAATAAACTTGAGCATAGAAAATATTGAATTAAAAAAAATATGTACCATGATTTTTAAACTGGATAATAATAAAGATAAGAAAACACTTCCAGTGACTGGAAGTGTTTCTATTAGTGTTTGCTGCAAAATGATGGGTGAACATTTTTTAAACAATAATTTTTATGTTCAACTTGAAAATGAGCAAGTTAATTTCAAAAATGATTTTTATGATTTTTTTGGGGGTATTTTTCATGGGACAATACATCTTTGAGGATACTTTAAGGTAAAGTGAAATCTAAACACAATTTTATTTTTTTGATCTATTTCTGATTTTCAGGTTCATCCCAGTTTTTCAGGTCGACTGTAGTACAGTACATCTTTAATGACTAAAGTGTTTCCTAGTGATCAATCTATTCGTATTCTAGGCCCAGCCTTTGCAAACAAATAAAAAGAGTATGATGTTTTAGAACTGTTTTCATTGGTAAGAAACCAAACACAGTGCATGTTTACATTTGTGAGCTTTTGAAGAGTATGTTGACTGAACAAATAAAATATATGACTATAAAAACAATCAATTTCTGTACAAATAAGTACTCTTTCACTCATGAGGACATCATGTAAGGGTTACACCAGACATCAACACTAGAGAGCATATTTCAATGTTCTTGAATTTATATTACTGTATTATCTACTGGTAAACCAGTTTTGCAATAAATACAGTACTGTTAAATATATTTTTAGTGACTTGCCTATAAGCATACAGTATTTCAAAAAACAACCCAACACTCAGCTGTTCTCGTTAAATTGTGCATTGCATAAACATTTTCAAATATTATAATAATATTAATATAAGAATTCATAAAGTGTCAAACGACCGAGGTGCATTATCAAAGGCGCTGTTCACGTTAATGATGGAAAATGTGAGTTTTAACTAATTTTTTTAATGAACCAACAGAAGAACAGTTCTTAATATGTGCAGGGAGTGAATTCCAAAGTGTAGGTGCAGCAAAGGAAAAAGATGTATGGCAAATACAGTAGTTTTAAGGATGTGCGGGGAACAGAGAGCAACAAATTATTAGATGATCTTAGGGTGCATCCGGGAATATAAACGTGGGTAAGTTGATGTCTATATATATATATATATATATATATATATATAGGTTGCTTAAATAGAAGTAGCAAGATTTTGAACTTAAAATCGGGAAGCCAATGGTATAAATGTATGGTGTGCACGGTTGTAGTTGCACTAAGAGTTACAAGTTTTAAGCAAGTTGCCTGGAAATCTGGACAGCCTCCCGCAAGCATGCACAAATCTCCCAAAAAACTGCCCATGATATGGATATAAACTACGTGTAGAAAAAAAATTAGATGTACCAGCAGTGACTTCTTCCATTGGGAATTTTTGACAGTGGAGACCAGGTGGGAATCACATGCTCCCTGTGCGCCTTTTGCTGATGGCATTAATTTTCTTTTGATCAGCAAAGTAATTACCGCTGCTTGTGATAGTTGACATCACCAATCATTTCTGTTGACAATTGAGACCAGATGGGGATCACATGCCCCCCCGTGCCCCTTTCACTGATGCCATTCATTTACCTTTCGATCAGCAAAGTAATTACTGCTGCTTGTTAGAATTGACGTCACCACTCATCTCCGTATAAATGTGCTTTAAAATCATTACAAATAATGTCATTAAACCCATTTTAATGGGTTTGCCTACTTTTCCAACTTCAAGCACAAAGATTAAAGTCATATTTCTGCTGATTATTTGTTTGCAGTTTCCAAAGCAACGGTTTCAAGGATAGAAATTCTTTGTTCATGTGGAGGGGTTAATGAGATGAGATGAGTCCATTTTACCACTTGACCTCAAAATGTTATTCTAATGTATGAATAAGCTTTAAAAAGCTACTGCCCTTTAAAACTCATATGTTATGAACCTATATACATTTGGCAACCATTTTTTTTTTCTTGCCCAATTGGAAACATGTATGCAGGACTTGTAATTTAATAGACCACCAATGTTATCTTTTGCTAAAAATCATGAGAAGCCTGGATGCAAAAAGTGGCCTTTAATTTAAGATAAATCAATCGAACACACAAAATCATATACAGTTGGTTGTCATCGAGTTTAATGTAACCTACCAAATTTAACTTGTACTGGTTCCCAATGGCGAATAAGACAGCGATTCTGTCTGTTAGCAATCTCTACTGTTCGTGGCTATGTATCAACGGTAGGTTCAGGACGGAGGTTAGCAAAAAATCTTTGCTAAAATCGTGTGAAAAATTATGCTACTTTGATATGGAACGGAGCAGGGACTTCAACTACCAATTTTACCTAGGTATTGCCCGCACTTGTCCTACCATTTCCTCAAAAATACCCCTGTAAATGCAGCACCTACCTGTATAGAAATATTTAAGAGTGAGCCCCCCCGGGTCTGTTTAATAGTGGTGTATTTTCGAAACAGAAAAAATTAGCTTTCTCAAAATGGGTAAAACCTAGATACAACAAAAATATACAATTGAACACAGCAAAACATTTACTGTCCAAAATGTATTTAATTACTTGTGTATTCAACAGCAAACCTGCAGGTTTTTAAAACACAATGTGTTGCTGTACGTGTCTGCTGAAGAGCATTATGAGGCTTTCAAAATAGAAGAATTTTATTTAAAATAAATAAAACCGATAAAACTCGGGGGTTGTGTCAAGCATCTTAATGGCAAAGCTACAGCTTACTTTACACATACCATAGTTTTCCTTGTACAAGCTCACCCTCTTTGAACATGGAATTTCCAGAGATACACCAAAATATAATTTTGTTTTTAATGAATAACCTTTAACCTTTTTACAAAATGTACTTTTTGTATGTTATTATTTATAGAGTGAGTAATTTGCAAGAAAATTATTCAAAAGTTAAGTGTGTTGGTGGTGGGCTTATATTCAAGAAACTGTAGCATATTTTAAAATATTACCATTTTTGGCTTAAATTGTGTATATATTTGATCTGTATCGTTGCATTAGATATACAACACACACTATTAAAATCATGAAACAATACTATAATAATATGAATATTTTTTTTCTACATTAATAAACTTTTTCATTGCATTTATTTATTGAAATATTAGCGAGATTGATGGAAGGTGAATGCATCACATCCCCGGACAACGCTCGGTGATTTGTAGTGAATATCATGAAAAGCCTCGGATACAGGAAGTTCAGGATCGGTCTTGGCTTTCTTGACAGCATCGTCAACTTCACCTCTCACTTCTAAATCAATTTTCTGTAATATTAACATAGTGATAAGTCTTATTGTATATGACACAGAATGAGTTCTCTAGAGAAATATTCCATAAGGTGTAGTTAGTAACAAAACACTGGCCATTTATACTCCTGGGTCACTAGAGACAATGGGAAGTAAGTGCCTTGTCAGCCCAAGACTGGAACCCTTTTTTATTGGAAGCCTACGGCCTAGTTCAGACTAGGTGGATAAACCCGGCTCAACTCACCGGGTTTATCCACCTGCCAGTCTGAACTAGGTGGCTTATCTCAAGCCAGGCTGTGTTCCTATAGTAACTACGCCTGGCGCGCCACCGTGTTAAATTTTCTAAGCCAGGTTTTAATCATTACGGGGGGTCTTGCATTGACTTTGGGTGACGAAATGACCAATCAGCATTCAATTACGTACGCTGTGAGCGAGCGTACGTTTCGCGACAGCAATGTTTTGAAACGCATTTCCTGGTTACGGTTCATTATTATGCAAATTCTTGCCTGGCTAAACCCGCTAGTCTGAAAGCCTGGCAAAGTTAAGCCGGTCTTAACTCAAGCCTGGCTTATCTCCAAGTCTGAACGTAGCCTACAGCTCTTTCACTGCACCATAATATATTTCTATTGAATACCGGTTGCAACTTGATCTAAGTGGCTGCCACCCAACCTGTTAATGAAATAGAATTAAAATTACCTTCAGTTCATCAACAGTTGCAAGATTGCTTGAAGTTATTCGCTCTTTGAAGTTGGTGATGGGATCTCTCTGCTGGCGGATTTCTTGAATTTCCTCGCGAGTACGATAACTTGTTCCTGGATCACTCATACTATGTCCATAATACCGGTACGTCTCAACTTCCATAACTAAGGGACCCTGTAAGAAAACATCTCCAACATTAAACTGTTATACAGCTCTCAAAATCGGAATAGAGTCAAAATCTGGGGTCGAAAAAGGTTTTTCATACAAGTACATGTAGGTTATATTGCAATCTATTATGTCAAACATTGTACAAGCTAATGGTCTGTACTTTATCTGTGTCTTGTTTTCAATTATTTAAATTGTTTATCATATATACATAGTTATATAAGCTGCCATTTAATTTTTAATCAGGCAGTGATGAGTTGATCAATATCTAGGTACAAGTAGGTAGACCATGATGTACCTTTCCTGCTCTGCAGTATTCGGCAGCCCATAACATTGCCTCTCTCACTGCCAGCACATCCATGCCATCAACCTACAGAAAATAATAATAAATATAGAACAAGTTATGTACACGAGCATGAATAATTAAATAAAAGTAAGATAGATTGATGAAAAGATAGGCGTATATCCAGGTGAATCATTTTGCATATAAGTATCAAAAGCTTCTGGTTTTGCACAGAATTCTCCCAACAAATGGGGGCACCATTCAAATAAATTACATTGATTCATCAATACTATATGTATTATTTACACTCCATTTGGTAGGTGCTCCAAAGTTTATTATGATGTTGCTAAGGGTTTGTACACAAGAACTCAAAATAGAGGGGGCCCAGGGAGGGAATTTCACAGGTAGAGGGTCCACCAACACCAGGCCTACCATGGTTGAGGCCAAGGTACGAAAATTTATGACTATGGCACCTCTAAATGAACAGGAGTGGCACTCACACACTTAAATTTTTAATATAATTTTCTTTTTCTATCCATTTATAAATTTGAAAAATGTAGGGGGCCTGGGCCGAATGGGCCACCCTCCCCTCACCCCATTGAATCTGCCACTGAACCAGTGTAGTGATTCCTGGCTCTCATGAACACCTACCCAGAGTCCAGGGACATAATCTCCTCGAGAGAAGTAGTCAGTTGAAGCTGATGCTCTATCGACTGCTGTACCCATTCCAAACTTATTGTTTTCACAAACAAAGATACATGGTAAGTCCCACAGTTTTGCTATATTATAGGCTTCAAAGATTTGCCCTTGATTGGCTGCACCATCTCCGTACAACGTCACCGACACATCACCGGTGCTCATGTATTTCTGGGCAAGGGCGACCCCAGCGCCAAGTGGCACCTGTAATGAATAAAATTGTCTTGCACTTATTCAAATTATTAAAACCATTGTAGTAAAACAATTCTATTATGTGGTATACCGTTAAACCTTGAATAAAATTCCTGGGCTTCTTCTTTTTAGGACCCTTAGATTGGATGGGCTTCTTTTTTGAGGTGGGCATCTTTTCGATATGGGCTTCTTTTCAAGATTACTTTTACAAACTAAAAAGGGGGGATTTCTTTCAAAATGAATTTTGTAAATAATGGAATTGCTACTATACGACATTTTCAACTATGGAATTCAACATTCTGTTTAATATATTTTTTAAAAATTTCAACCATGCTAGTACGATAAAATACTATTGATACTGAACCGCTATAATAAATATCAAAGATAACGTCAGTCTGAATGTAAGTGAAGCCTGAAAGAAGCCTGTTATCCTAATTAGAAACGCATGTGCTTCTTTCCGAGGTGGGCTTCTTTTCGAGATAAGTTTTGCAAATTAAAGAGGGGAAGGGGTTTCTTATCGAGATGGGTTTCTCCTTCAGATTAAGCCCACAGGGTTTCTATGCAAGGTTTTACGATATTTTAGTAAATAAATATAACAAATTAAAATACAAACCTGAGCACCAACAATACCATTTCCTCCATAGAAATTTTTGGTGTACATGTGCATGGATCCACCTTTGCCTTTCTGGATACCAGTTTGACGACCTACCGATACATAAATGTTTTTTAACATATAAATATTATGTTATAATGTATTCCGCAGAATTATCATTACTGATTAATATTCCAACACAACCACAATTATACCATCCCTTAAGCTGGGCACTCACTACGTTGTGCGACTGTCGGACGACGAATCGAACTCCGCTTCCTGGGAGCGCTAGAACATGCAACGCCGTCTGCTGATTATCAGTGGTCGTCTGAACGGATCGTCATTACAAATGATCAGTTGTGCGCGTTGTCGCATTGTTTTCTTCATAGAATTGCATCGGCCGACGACTATCCGGCGCAGTGAGTGCCCAGTTTTATGAGAAAAGTTTGAGATACCTGTAAGCTCAGCGAGAATTTGATGAACACTGACCCCCATCAAGTAAGTCCAGCCATGGCAACGATACGCTGTGATCACATGATCAGTTTCACGCATTGCTTCTTTCATACCAACCGCACATGCTTCCTGAAAATGATCAATAATCATAACAAGCTGTTAATGCGAGGATAAATTTAAAGATTCTATACACTCCCTTTTGCCAGTTGCAACAACTTTGTCTTATACACCCAAGGCTATAAAGTCTTTAGGACTGCCCTGGAGGCTCTAGGACTGCCCTGGAGTCTCTAAGACTGCCCTGGAGTCTCTAGGACTGCCCTTGAGTCGCTAAGAATTTTAGTTCATCTCCCGGTCTCCAGGAAACTTCACATTTTCACCTAGAATTGGAATTCTCTGGAATTTCTCAATGATTTTAACACATGTTTACAACAGGGCTTAGTCTAAAGTGATTTTTTTTTCCATTCTTAAGCAGACAATAAGGCAGATATAAGGTTTAATAACATTAACAGTGACCTAAACCTGCCCAAGTCTCTTTGTTTATATTGGACATGGCGATAAGATTGTACATGTGTGTATTTGTACATTTTAGCTACTACACACTTGGTAAAGCTAACACTAAGCATGAAATGTACATGTATACCTTAAATGTTTGTATTTGGAATGGATCGGGTGAGTACGTACCATAAACCCTCGAATAGAAGCCGTGGGCTGCTTCTTTTCTTTCTTTTTTTTTGCGACCATTGGAAGGGCATTTTTTTTTAGATCGGCTGCTTTTCAAAGCTACTTTTGCAAAGAATGCTATGAATTTTAGCAATTAAGTACTATCAAATAATAAATCAGGCCATTGTAACATCAATCTGTATCATAGAGTGTATTAAGATACTGTAGGCTTATTTTCAAGGCTACTTTTACAAACTAAAGAGGGGGCTTCAATTCGAGATGGGCTTCTTCTCGAGATTAATCCCATTGTGCTTCTATTCGAAGTTTAACGGTACGTGCTACTTGTTTGATGTTGACGTATTAGTATCATATTTTACGCAAGGTCAGTAACATGTACCTGTCCTGAATAGAGATGAAGAAAGCCACGAATCTCCTTAGACTTGTAAAGGTTACTGGCAGCTGTCTCCATTCGACGAATCACCTGCATGGTACGATAAATTCTCAAAGCATCGTCGCGGTTTAGACTCACTTCTGTCGATGGTCCTGATTCTAGTTTGTGTAGTTTACATTCTTGGGTGATAAAATTCGCCTCTTGGGCACCACTTGTATATGGTCGACTCAAAACTGCAACTGCTCTGTGCTGTAAAATACATTGATGCATGGGTTCATTGTATGGGGAGTAGAGAGGGCTAGGAAAGTTTTTGTATAACCAATAATGGTCTCATTAGGAATGCTTCTTGAGTTTCACTTGCAAGGTAGGAACATGCACACAACGCCGTCAGTTTTAGGCCGTCAGAAACCAACAGGTACAAATGAAATAGGATTTAATTAAAACCGTTTGGCAGAAAAATTGTTAATTTATTATATATAGGCCTAGGCCTAAAATTCAATTTACATGGAATATTTATGGCCCTCTAGGCCTAGGCCCCAAGGCTTGGGGCCTAGGCCTAGAGGGCCCTAGTTTTTTAAGATCGGGGTGGAAAACTTGGCTGGCTTACCCTAGTAGAGTGGCCAATAGATAGGCCGAGACCTAACTAGGGTTGAGTCTATCCTAGCTAGCGTGCTAGGTCTATCTAGGCCTAGGGATCTCTCTAGCTGGGCATAGGACCGGCCAAGTCCCTACCAACCTAGGCCTCCAGGCTAGTATAGGGTAGGGCCTGGTGTTGGTTGGTTTTTGCAGCCAAAATGCATTGCTTTATACAAGAAAAAAATGGATAAAAATACAGAATAATATAGCTACAACTGACCAGCAGCCTGGAACCTGTTCCTAATGTTTTTACAAGCACAGACATGGCGTTAATCTAATAAATTAACAACAATTGTAAGGCTATCAACTTTAAATGCCTCAGCTGGATGAGGTCAGAGTGCACAGCTAGAGCAGAGGCCGAGTGGTGGATCGTCGGATCCATGTTCGGATGGATCCGAGAACCAATGAAATCGAGCGGATGCCACTTCGAGCGAATGCCAGTTCGAGCGGATGCTAGTTCGAGCGGCAAAAGATCCACAGCCTGTGCGCGAGTAATGTACGAATTAAATTAATTTAAAAATTCATTATTTTGAGCTAACGATTTGCATTCGTCCGAGGCTCAAGCTTTGCCTTGGAGCCAGGGGAAAAAGCCCTGGTGGGTTCCGGGGGAGAAGCCTATAGTCTTATGTATAGAAATCGTATTTACTTGATTTTTAGGTTATTTAAAATGTTAACTAGGTTCATAAATATAATGATTTATCTTGTCTTAGTCATTCGTAATTGTTATTCTTTTCACTCGCTTTAAGAAAGTGGGTTTTAAACTACAAACGAATGTTGAATAGTGAGAAAATTGATATGATGTCATTATTACTGTGTTGATAGTCTTATCACACTACATGCACCTTCTGACGTACACCTAGATTATGTAACTTATAAATTTAGGGCATACAAATACAAATAGGCCTACAACATAATTCAATTACAAATATAATTTGCGTTTTTAAATACAAAACCCCATTTGAGACAAAAACTGTGAATTAATGAAACGTGCGCAATTCAATAGTTTTAAAATATGAGGTCTCCTAAGTGCTTTTGTTAGGCCGCCATCTGGTCGGGTTTGCCAAGACTGTATTCAAACATGGAATAATTATTAAAAGTACCAGAAACATTTCAGAACTTTAGTGTACAGAGCATTTTTTGCATTTTAAACAGAATTTCAATCACAAATATTTATATTTTATTTTTTATTATTTTAAAAATTCATTTATATATTTGTTTATTTCTGTATATATATTTCATTGACTCTAAATGTATATATTGATTTCAATTTCTTTTTATTTTAATCCATTTTAACTCCTTTTTAAGTTGTACAAAAAAACCGTAGGCCCCTATATAGACAAATTAATTTATATATAATTTATTTATTTTTTATCTATTTTATTATTAATTAATTTATTTTAACAGTTAATTTCTTTTTATTTAATTTATTGTAAATAGATAATTGATATTTTATTATTTTTATTTTCTATAATTTCCTAAAACTGGGTTGATGGGATTTCGAGCTAAATTGTCCGTTACTATTCTCAATCCTAGCCATCTTAGGTTATTTTACAATTTGTTTGTTATTTCTGCTGCTTTAACTGTGTAAATTGTTTGTACACTTTTTTGGTTATAAAGAATGAATGAATCAATTAAAGAATAGGGCGAAGATAAATTCGCACTTGTTATAGTTCGCACTAAATGCATCCGCTCGAACTGACATTCGCTCGAATTGATTGGCGATGGATGGTCTGAAAAGAGCGCCATCTATAATCAAATGGGGAACACGGAATCGGGGAAAAAAAGATCAAAATGGCCGACGAAGATACGAGAGAAACCGATACAAGGCGACTAAATGTTAAAAAGCAGACTTTGGATGATGCTTACGCAGCACCAGCCAACTTTCTGGAGATAGATATTGTCAACCCAGAAACACATGGCTTTGGAAAGAAGCGTTATACAGACTACGAAGTTCGAATGAGGGTAGGCGTAGCATGTTGATCAAAAACAGGTCTTGTGACCGAAACGCCTAGAGAGAACCGCCCAGCCGGCCTCGATCGACTAAATTCAATGTGCAGCCTAGAAACGTGATTTTTAATTTTGTGTACTTCGCCCTGCTTACAGTGCACGGCATTTATCAATATCGTAGTCTGTAGTGTTTCAGGTTGCTTGTTTTAATGTTCGCCTAGGGAGGCTAGGCCTAGCATAGTTTTAAAATTCTAATAATATGTTTTTAAAAAAAAAGAAGAAAAGGTTAAGCTCCCCCTACCCTACGGCCTAGGCCAAGGACTACTACTAGTCTAGGCGGCAAGGCCTAAAGTGTCTAGAGGACTAAGTCTAAGCCTTCCTAAAATTAACCAGTTTAACTTAACCTTCCTACCTATATAGATAGTCATGGCATGCTCTTCTAGGCCATTCGCCCGCCGCTACGAATTATTGCAGTTCTTGCGTGTGGAAAGTTGTGGCCTTACACTGTTTGTAATCTATCATTTTTCAATTTACCAAACGCAAACTTATGAAATTTATATATTTTTTTTCAGTCGAATTTACCAATCTTTAAATTGAAGGAATCATCCGTACGGCGACGATACAGTGACTTTGAATGGCTACGAACTGAACTTGAGAGAGACAGCAAAGTAAATAGATTATAAAATCCAGCTCATCCTACGCTTGGACAGTGGCAATGTCTAGGGGTGCACACGACCCCAACTTCATTGAAGCAGAAAAATCACCTTATTTTTCCAGCTATCGCCCCCTTCACTTAATCGCCCCACTTCAACTTTGACCCCATAAGCCCCACCCCATTTGAAGACTCAAAGAGATACCATTGCTCTTAATATTCAGTCATAATATTTCAACAAGATAATTGGCTGATGAAATTTATTTCTTTACAGTGTAATTGATTTGTAGGATAGTTTAATGAGCTAATTTGTATTGTTTCTTATGCTGGAAATTTTACCATTATGAGAGAATAAATAATAATTATAATATCGAATTTCATTCATGTTAAGCCAAGTAAATAAGGGTTATCAGGGTAGTAATCATATTTACAGGATAATGTACAAAGACATGTTTTTTAGATGCTTTATTTTCCCTCCTTTTCAGTTTTGTTCTTTACAACTATACTTTCCAAAAAGTAATTCTTGTTTCTTTTGCAGATTGTAGTTCCACCTTTACCCGGAAAAGCGTGGAAAAGACAAATGCCCTTCCGGTCAGATGATGGAATATATGAAGATGACTTTATAGAGGAGCGCAGACAAGGCCTGGAAGCATTTGTTAATCGGTAATCCAACTTCCATAATGAACCAGAAAAACTGCATTTAGTGATGGTACCAGTGGTTGTCGGGGAGGGGGAATTTCCCTTGTCAGGCTGAAAATATTACCGTAATTTGCTGATCTAGCAAAAGATATTGTGCTTTATATGCACACATGCTATCATTCTAAACCATAAAAACTCTCCTCCTTGATGCCACTAGGTTGTTTTTTTTTTAAGACCCTGACCTCTGGAGTATCTAGATGACCTTTGGGTTGATAACCGACTCCATTAAGGCAGGTACACCCTAAGGAAATTAAAAGAATTGATGCAACCTTAAACACTACATGCCTTTGCCTTTTTTCTTTTTTTTTTTTAAATTATGGGTACCATATATACTCACGTATAAGGCGACCCCCGAGTTTGAGAATATTTTTGGACGATCCACGTTTTACCGTCGGAAATTCATACCTTTTGCTGTTCTTCATGGTCTTGATACTGTATCTAGCTGGCTACAAATGAGAGCTCCAAATGTAGGGCTAATCTTCAAAATTAATACCATTTTATCTGGTTTTAAATGTTTAATTTAATCAAAATCTTATTTTCCCAGTACAGTATTTAAAATTGCGTTCATCCATACTAACATTTATTAGGTTCATTGCAGTAGTAAATTTGCATGTTACGGACGATCTGCACATACAAAGACAAACATGATTTTTAAAAATGTAATACTTGTATGTTGTGCGTATAAGACGACCCTGTTTTTCTATGTGTATCTACCATAAAGTGCCTATTTACGGCTGCTAGGTAGTCACGGACCACGCCCATACGCAATTCAGCACAATGATGTTGCAAGTTATGGTTTATTCTCCAACCTTTTACATATTGTAATTTGCTATTTTAAGCCTCGTTTTATACATGAGCATAAGGTTCATTATTCACCATATTTTGGCTATCTGCTGTATATATTTATCCTATAAAGTAGTGAGTAGCCTCAAACCCTACTGTAGGGTGTGTTGTGCTGTTGAAACTTGACAAAAATTTACTTAACTGCTGAAATAAATTGATAAACTATATTTTGAATTTCTGTTTTCGAGTGATCATTTTACAGCTTGTTACATAATTTATTTAAGTCGAAAACTAATACTTGAGTGATTTTTCTTTATAGAGTGTCCGGCCATCCGCTAGCTCAGACGGAACGTTGCTTACACATGTTCTTACAGGATCCTGTTATAAACAAAGACTACACACCGGGAAAGATTCAAAACACGTGAGAAAAAAAAAACAACAGATCACCAACCAACCGCAACCACTAATAGCCTCTTGTACAGATAGAAATTATACACATACATCAACTGTCTATTATTATGTTATATAGATATTATTATATAATTTATAATAGATTGACAGTTGTATTTCTGTTATGCTATTAATTTAGGCACTCGTGTAATGTAATGTTTTGTTTCATTTATTCGTATAATTTCCCAATATTTACTTATTAATTACTCATGTAGTTGAATTTGATAATTAATAAAAGTATGTAATCGAAACTGCAAGGGTGTTTTTAAAAAATTATACTTTAAAACTTTGTGTTATTGAATCCCATAATGTATTCATTGATCACTCATAAATTTTGATTTGTTCTCACTTATTTTTGGGATTATGACTTACGTGTTGGTAGATCTTTTAACAGTATCGTGTCGGCATTTTATTCCTTCAAATAATTAAAAAGATTCCCTTTAATTGTGTGTATTTATATAGCTAATTCCATAAGTATATATATATGTATAATCAACCAATTAATAAGGCATTTTCTTTCGAAAGCTAATTTCCGTCTTGAGGGACTGATATTCCCGATTATTTTACTATAATGGAACAAACACATTAATTTTCTGTGTGTCAGATTTATGTTAATTCAGGTTGAGGAATAGTTAGACTAAGTAGAAACACATTGTACTTTTTCCCATTAGCAAAGAACTACCCTTTTCAAATAATCTTGTTGGTGGCATTACAGTAAAAATCCTTCGATTTCCCTTGAAATCCTTTGATAATTTTACCTCGATTCATAGACAGTGTTGTAAGTTATTTTTTACACAGGCGTACATTGATATGTATTTCTTGGTGAAACAACACAATGCAATAACATTGAAATCAGCTATCTTTTGCTAACGTGGGGAAGGGAAATCCTTTTTTCGCTCAGCCCAATCTAGGTCCCTGGATTACTTTCAATGAATATAATGGTCTTATTTGTTATTTTGTGGGTCTTCAGAAAATATTTTATCATGATTAGATAAACCATGAATATCTTCCATAGATCCTAGCATGTAAAGCTGTTCGGATTATGCACCCATAGAATTCTGATTACAGGTACTCTAATTAAAAAACTAAAGTGCTGAAGCTAACGTACGATTTCCAAAGTGAAAGTTTCAAATACGCACAATACTGCTGCGACAGATAATACGGCAATTCTTGCGTACACATCCACAAACCAGTATCTTCATTTGACCTACTTAGCTCCCTTATATTCCAGTAACTATGATTCCTTCACTGTCGTCGCTAAAATGTCACATAGTAATTGTTCTAAAACTTTTGTAAAATTGCTCTTAAATGCTGGTAATTCATTTGGAGATTTCTGGACATTGTCATAATTATCATCGGAATGATTGTTTTATATGTATGTACTGATAACATGTCAATTATTGAATAAATTTTGTCAATTAATTGAAAAACATGGAAAGTGACTCAAGACTTGTCAATAAAGGATTGTTTTATTATAATCAGTTCCAATTAAAAACGATTTAATTACGGTATGAGAATTAATCACTATAGACCAGCACTATGCATCTCGATCCTTTTTAGAGAATGCTGTGTTATGTTTACCATAATAATAGGCAGATGTATTGTTGGGATTTCTATGTACTTAACAAAAAGAAATTAATTTTAATGAGAATGGATAATGAGAATGGCTAACTAGTAGAATTAAACAGAAAAGATTTGACAAAACTGGTGTCTTTTATTCTTTTATTTAGAGACAAAATATTAGCTACAGTATTTGTTACAACTTGTACCCAAAAGGTTGCCAGAAATTTCCTGATGGGAAAAATTCACCTCATCCCACCTTGTTTGGAGCAAATTTTGTTCACAGATGGTTTGGCGTCGCCACTCCCCTGGCATTTGAGAGCCAACTGAGCTGATGTAAATCTGCTACTATTGATTTGTAATCATTCATTTGTAATCCCTTTGAGCAAATTAAATATTGTACTAACACAATTGTCATCCACTTAACACAAAAACCAATACCCCAAATTGAATTTTTCTGAATAAGGTTAATACTGTAGAAATTAAAATATATTTATAGTAAATATCTTAAAAAGTGCCAAGGCATCCTACAAACATGAGACTTCAATGCGTTGCTTATGGAAGAGCTGCTTATTGGAACATTTACAACTGGATTAAGTTTGAACTTGCACAAATTCATTTAGTATATACAGTTGAAATTGCATAAGTCAAATCCAAAATTGTCAAACTCGAATGGGCACTTCCGTGCTGAACAGAAAGTGCTCAACAAACACCTTTTTATTGAGTTTGTACTTGACGTTTGAAATACTTGTCGAGTTTGTACTACTGTATGGGGCTAACAACATACTCAACGGATAAGTTCCAATCGAATATGCCCAATGACATTGAAAAATTGTTCAACTTGGATAAAATTCCACTTACAGATTGTTAATTACCGGTAATGGAAAACAACAATTTGCCAAGTAGAATAAGATCGACTGAAAAATTATTCTATTATTATATAAAATGCTGTAAATAACATAATATCTGTTTTAAAACCCTCAGAACTTCTGAGCGTTAGAAGAGTTTGCCCCTTTGCGAATAATCTAAAATGTACTGGTCCAAATTTTTGGTCCAGATTCGATATGATAGCAGCTTACGGCCTCAACAGCTCCTCTGAGTTCATCATAGCTTTATCAACTCGCACATCAAAACCAATAATTTCCAATTAAAGAAAAACACAAAAATTGGCATCTCATTTCCTTTAATTGTCAATATTAAGATGCACCTTATATTAAGATGCAATGTTGTACAGTTAAGTTTAAAACCGTTACATCAGTTTAAAGGCTCATTGTAAAGTGTAGCTTATGTCGAGACACTTGGCTGTATCAAATGCAGAGATTTCATATGATGTTATGAGGTCAGAAATGCAGAACTCTACCTGTATATAATAATGATACAATTCGGTCTATCGAAAAAAAAAGGAAATAGCCAAAAAAATAAATTTAACAACTAATTACAGCAATTTACAATGAAAGCAATATTTACATATTAAAGTACAACATTTTCAAATTATGTTAAAAAAACAAGACAATTTATCATAAGTCATGCTGCCCAAGTGACTGGAGATAAAGGTCACTAATGGACTAAACTCCATGTTTAAGATATCAAATTATTTAACTCCAGACTGAAAATTTCTTCTTGGGAGTATAAAGTGCCAAAGATTTTCAAGATTTTGGGTCAGTCCGGCTTGGTAGCTTTCTTTTTGGTCTTATCACAATGATGCTCAAGTCCAGTCATATTTTAAATTATCTATCCAATTCTAGAACACCACAGTCGGTAATCTTGCACTCCTTCTTAGGGCGTTCATTATATGTTTCTTGGTTTTCTAATGTTGCCAACAGATGTGTTCCTTCAACAAGTTTCCTATGAATAGTTGATAATGACACAAAAGAAAAAATAAAAGAATTGAGTAAGACATAATAATGTATTATTATAACACCTAAATTGTATAGGTTGAAAGCAAAGACTGAATGCATTTTAAAGAAATTTTGTGTTGTAGGCATAACTTTAGGCAAGACTTTTTTATACTGTACCTTGTTTCGCGAACTTATTTTTTCAAAGATCGTCAGAGAAAAAAATTTAATTTTGTTATCTTATTTTGCAAACAGTTTGCCAAAAACATCTAGACGGAAGAAAAAAATGTTATTGGTGAATGTAAAGGGTTTAGGAACGGGCTGGTTAAATGCTTAACAATTAGGAAGTAGCATATATGTATCTTATTTTTGGAAATTTCAAGGCAACGCCGGGAGTAATAAAAATAAAGAAAAATTTTTATTTATTTCATTTTTTTTTTGGCGGAGTGTATTTATTTGAAATCATAATTATTGGCGGGTGTTAACCATGTTAAGTACTTTTTTATTAATACCAAAAATATGTAGAATAACATTATTGTGACAAAGTTTTTACTAAAAATATTATGTAGGCTTTCCTTGGACAAGTTTTAAGGAAGATCCAAGCAAGGAAAGCGACCAAAGGGGAGGGTAGAAAAATTCACTGTCAAAATGCTAAAAACACAATGGCTTTTCCCACTACAGCCAAAAAACCCAAAGTATAAGTGTTATTACATACCCAAATGCAACGTATTTGGTATTCATCCATGGGGCAGGCTGCAATGTTATATAAAACTGTGATGCATTGGTGTGTCTACCCTGGTTTGCCATTCCCAGCATTCCACGACTTGCATGCGGCACAGAAAAGTTCTCATCTGTTAGTAAGAGACAAGGAATATTGTTTGCAGATACAGGCTTTGATATGTTCAGGTTTTACAGTACTGTGTGAAATTTTCTATTAAACAGTGACAGATCCAGAAATTTCGAAATAGAGGGGGCCCCATAGAGGGACTTTCACAGAATGAGGGAAAGAAAAATTATGATTATGGCACCTCTCGATGACCGGAAATGGCACGCTCAGACTTGTATTTTAATATAATTTTTTTTGTAATTGGAAAAATTTTTGGGGAGGAGGGCCTGGGCCTTTTGAATGGTCTCAATCAGTGATATACATATAATAGTTATTATAATAAAAGAACACATTCTTTTCAAGCTGGCATTTATAATCATATTATTATTATTGGAAACAATAATACACAATATGGGACAGTGGAACGCACTCACAAATGCCTTATCCAACAATGTAAACAAAATGTTTATCTCGTACCAGTACCTAATAATGTAATGTACTGTAAATGATATTTCCCACAAAGCACCCTAATTCGATAATATTCTATTTTTAATAAATATTGGGGCACTTAATTGAGAGTACCATCTTTCTATGTGCCTTGAGGTTTTGAATCTATTAAATTTTCAACTTCTATTACTAACAGATTAAATATTCTATATGTCGCAACAATTCAGCTTACGCCTATTATGTATTATAATTAACACTACAAAAACGTGTAAAGTGCCTCTCTTTAATTAGTTCCTCTATTGAATAAATGCAGCATTAAAGGCTCAATAATGTGATAATAGTGGTGGTTCCTATTTGGTCGTTTACAATAAAAATGAAATCTGTACTTTACCTTCAAAAAATGGACCATAGATTGATTCACCGCCAGTTCCAACTCCATTAAGAATATCTAATAAATAATAACAACACATAATAACTACAAATATCCTTATGACTGTCCTAGCAAAACACAAACAATACCAGCCATAACTGACCAGTCAATCAAAACAGGTCCAGGTATATGCGCAAGTTTTCCTATAATTTATTTATTTGAACTGCTTATATTTTTCCTAAAGTCCCTGTACGAAAATTATTATCATTAATATTGACCTCCTCCTTGTATCCATCCACTGGGAACGATGCGATGTAAAATGCTGTTTTTATAGTGATACGGCATCAGGGACTCGTCCTTCTTTTCTCCCTTCTCTCCGGTGCACAATGCTCGGAAATTCTCACAAGTTTTAGGACACTTGTCTGTGTACAGCTGTCAAGTGAAATAATACAATAAATAATAATAGTAATTATATTAACCATAATAATAATAGTATAATAATATGTGCTATACATTATATAAATATAAGTGGGACTTGAGGGGAATATCTTTTGTGTTATTTTCCCCTTAACATCATTTTTTTAAATTTCTCCATTGTCTAAGTTCCCCTTAAATTACGTTTTAGTAACATAATAATAATAATAATAATAATAATAATAATAATAATATCAATAATATCAATAATAATAATAATAATAGTAATAATAATAATAATACTAATATCAATAATAATAATAATAATAATAATAATAATAATAATAATAATAATAATAAAAATAATATAATAATAATAATAATAATAATACTACTAATATTATTAAAGTCAGGCAGGGGGAGGGGGAGAGTGGAATTATTTTTCGATGTTCTTAAGGGTGTTTGACGAATAGCACTGAAATGGTTAATGCGATACAGATTTTTGAATATTGAAAAATCTGTATCTCATTATCTGCCTACCAAACCCCCATACTCATAACACCAAATCTACCTTTCAGAAACAAATAATAGTGTAATTTTTAATTATCATGAATATTGTATATAATAATATGAATGAATAAATTATTTTCAATCTCCAATTTTACATATAAATTTAAATAATTAGTTGAAAAGCAATTTATTCTCATTAAACTTGTATATACTGTATTTACCTTACCTTAATTAATATAATTTGTTTTTAATAATCAATTCATAGATTTCAATATTTGGATCCAAATTACTTGTATCATCATATATTTTTTATATTTGTTCATATTGTAAACTCAAATGTATTTCAACCTTTGTTGCATTTTGAGTATTTTATACCAAATAAATGAAAAAAATACAAATATAAAAAAACTATTTAAAATACTTAGTTGATGCAACAGACCACTTTACCTCAAATACTAATTTCCCAGCTGGTTCACTGCCAATTGAAACTTCCAAGAAAACGAATGTGTGCTAAAAAAAAAAAAAAATAATAATGATATTCACAATAATAATTAATATTAAAGAATGCACTTTTGAAAAATATTGTACAATGCAAAGCTAAACAGTACACATTCATCAGAAATTATAGCATCGTCATGGCCTTGGTTAACGCTAATTGTACCGCTACTACCCCAAGGATATATGATAAGAGGATCGAAAGATGATAGATCAATGGTTGAAATGTAAATATAGATTCCTCTTTCTAATTTAATTCATTCATTTAAGCGTTTATTCAAATTTCATATTCATTATTTCTCGACTATCTTAAAACTGTGAACCTTATCTTATATTTTTGGGGGAGGGGTATGCATGTACACATCCTGGTATAGGCCTAATTTGCATATTCTATATTAAAACTTACTTCTGTTTTAACTAGGTAATTATTATATGCTTCAGCAGAGAGTGCTTCGTAGAGAGTCTCTGGCCTGTAGTCTGTGTACTGCCATTCTTCCATAGCCCACTTCAATAAGTCGACTGGTCCACCTGTGGTATGATATATGAGTTAAATAAAATATCTGAAAGCCATGGAGCACTGCCAAAATGTACAGTTCTAACTTATCAAATTCATCACATACACACAAAAAAAACAACTTTATTACACTAAACAAGATCCAAATCCATGGGTCCCAAGTTGGAAGAAGTCAATTCCAGGAGCTGGGTGGTGCCAGTGGGGGGGGGGGGGAGGGGGGGGGAAGTTCCCCTGTCGAAGAGAGCTGCCCACTCGTTAGGGACCTCGTACGCCCCCTTGAGCAAATCCTGGAGCCTCCTTTATCCATGAGATCTGCAGTGATGGTTCCGAGAATTCGCAATGAGGGTGGGGCAGGAAGGGGCTTGCACACATGCATGGTCTATACCACCTCAGCTCCACCATGGTTGGGGGTGAGGTTTGAAAATTGTGGCACCTCTAGATGGCCAGAAATGGTACTCTCAGACTAAAATTTGAATATGATTTTGTTTTTCTCTCCATTTATAAAAAAAATTTGACAAATTAGGGGGGGGGGAAGGGGATTCCCTCTTAAACCTGCCACTGATCTGGTTAATGACATTTCGTAATGTTGAATTTTATTTGTCCCACATTTTGATACACATTGGTAATGGCTTCTGTGAGACAATTAATAATAAAGCAGTGAAAACATGCAAATATTATGAATTTGCGGTATACGGGTTAATTTCTGGGAGATTCTTGCTTGCTTGAGTAGTGTGGGAGGGCGTACCGATTTCCGTGAGACTCTCACAAGTTCCGGGAGACTTGGGACCCCTGCAAATCATCCTCAAGTCCACTGGCACCACAGTGGGACCAGCTGGGTGGGACAGCTGGCTCCGGGCCTGGGGAGATGCTATCAAATATGATGGGGGAAAAATGACCACTTTCTAAGCCAGAGTCATTTTCAGGCATCTATAGGTATACCATATTTGGTATTTTTTTCCTTTAGCCACAACCATGGTGGGGCTCAGCTGGGTGTGGCCCGTCTGTTGGGGAAATGCCATTGTCGTATAAATGACATTTGCATAATTAACAGTTTAAAGCCTTTGTGACAAACCAAGTTGGATTAGTGAAAATGAACAGGTGATGGACAGTCAACTGGGTACATTTTCTTTGACTTCAACTTTTTTATATTAATTTAGGACGCAGTTAACTGACATTTATCATAAATTTTTATATTAAGGCATAGAGTAGGCATCGTTCTAATACAGACACCATGGGCGGATCCAAAGATGTATGAAAGGGGGGCTGAAAGTGGGCTGATCAAGACAACACTACTGTAGGGGAATCCCGCGAAATTTTTGTTTTCTAGATACCTGAAAATAACCTCTAAAGTGTTCTGGAAGATCAATTATTTCTTTTTCTGTCCTCCTTTTTTTTACTTTCCAAAAAGTGGGACCCGGGGCCGGCTTTAAAAATTCCTTCCAATAAATATATAAAATGAAAAAAAGAAAACCAAAACATGATATTAAATAATAACAAAGTTTATAAATATCTTACTTGTAAGCATATCTTACTTGTGGCCTTTAGGAGTCAAAGTTTTAATACTTGATGATGCTCTGATCAGATTGTCAGATTTTCTTTGATAAAAGACTATTGTATGCCTATATTTATTTATTTTAGCCTATTTTTTGTCAAATAAAATTTGGACAGTATAATAAGAACAACGGTTTTAGCATTACCAATTAGAATACCATTGACGTATGCAACTGCTTTATATTCAAATGCCCACATCTCTCCTTTCAACTCCTTTTTTTGCTTCTCCAAATACATTTCCCATTCAAATTCTAATAAAGCAACGACCACTGGTGCAGAAAATTTTGATGGAAAATTTTTCTGCAAATCCTGTAATGAATAAGATTTAAAATTAAAGGTGGTAATTGTATGATGAGATATCTTCAAGCAAAGAAATAAATGCTTAGTGTGTTGGGATTCAATATGCAGTGTATTCTTCAGGAACAATGTATCCATAATTATAATTACATGATACAAACAAATACCATGGATGGAGGATGCAAAGTATTAGTAACCAAACACAACAGCAGCAGTGGCTGCTCTAATAGGATATATTTTCTGGGGTGGTGGGGGGCTGAGCTGTCCGACGGGGGGACTTGGGCTCATAGGTACGTGCTGGGGGAAAGGTTTGAGAGGGTGTTCCCCTCTCAAATGCGATTATTTTAAGAATGGAATCTCTGGATGGCCAGAAATGACACTCTCAGACTGTGACAGACATGTGTTGGCTTGGCGTGGGCCTATTTGTATATATTTTTTAGTCTGACTGCCTGACGAGCTCTGTCCGATGGGGGGGGGCTTGACCTGTCCGGTGGGGGGGGGGGGCTTAAGCTCCTGCTCCCCGCTCCCCCCCCTCCC